AATAATAATAATAATAATAATAATAATAATAATAATAACAGACGAAAAAACAAAACGAAGAAAAAAAAAAACACATACAGCTATACCGCCCCCTTTATAAGACCTTTCCATGTATTCTCACTGTTATCATTTTATTTCATTTTTTGTTTATCCCCCCTCCCTCCCCTTTCTGCATATCACAACATATTAAAAGAATAAGCCCAACACTCGCATAGGGAAATTAAACAAACAAACAAACAAACATGTGTGTTTTTTTTTTTCTTTCAAATATTCACAGCGTTGCAAAGTACTCATCCCCAATCGTCCAAAGTTCAATTGCCTGCACAGACGCCAACGGCTCCCCACCCTCCACCCGCACTCCAGAAGGCAAATCACTCTCTTTACCATCACTCCCACTATTACTATTACTATTATTATTACTATTACTATTATTATGAATATGTTTGGCCGCAAGCATTAATAAGGAAGAGCGAAGACCAAACGTTGGGCAATATGTACTACTTGACACGGTGTCGAAATCCGCCGAGAGCATCAGTGCGGGTCCTTTACCACCACCACCAATGGCAATAGATCCATCTTCACATCGCATAATATAACGATTACTGGGATTCTGCGGTACATTAAATACATGAATGGTTTCATCTAATGGACTTAAATAGGAAGAGGAAGATTTAGGAGAAGATGATTCTAAAGCTGCTGTTGTTGTTGTTGTTGTTGTTTTTGTTTTTGTGGTTGATAATCCCTTTGAGGAGGATTGGGTGGTGTAAAAAACAAAACTCTCTTCACTTCCAACGTAACGACGGTTGGTCGCTTGTGGAATGGTAGAGAGATAAGCTCCAAGAAGAATATCACCCCTATCTCCTGCTGTTATCATTAAAATAGATGGTCTTTCTATACCTTTACTTTCTCTAATATGTGTGGTACACTCATGCTGCAATGCAAATCGTGAAAATCCATGATATTCACTACTGTAAATAAGACGCCAAGTACGACCTTGAAATCGTGGTGGTAAGTGTGTTTGTAAGGAAAGGAATTGAGTTCCACTAAGCAATATATTAGGTTTAATCGCAACCTCACGTTTGAGAGAAATATCGGGTTGTAAATACTCCAATGCGTCTTTGACCTCAAATGTGGATATCATCTTATTATTGAACTCTCCATCTTTGTTGGCGTTCTTATCACCTGAGCGAAAACCCACAAATGGGAATAAGCGAGAATAATTGGATCCCATTTTGTTATTTGTTTATTTATTTATTTTTTTTATCTTTATTTATTTATTTTTTTTTTTTTTTTGGACTCTCTGCTCTGGGGAAATAATACTCAGAAT